GTGTCAGAATAGAACTGGCCTCTATAGGGTTTTTAGTGGCTCATTTTTGGAAGTAGATCACTAGACCTTTATTTCAGTGCACCTCTGGGTGGACTCAAGTCTCCAACTTTATGGTTTGCAGCCAAGTATGTTAACTGTACCCTTAGAGAATCCTGGAGTAAAGGAGATCCAAACATCAAACAGCACATTGCCATTTGTTGTGCACCTACTTACTGCATGCACCAATTGTGTCTCACACATGTGTGTACCACTAATTTCAACATACTTTGGTTGGAAGCTCTGGTGGCATAGTGCCTAATGCATTTCTACTTCCGTAGAGCTACTGCCTCAGAAACCCAAGGAAGGGTTTCTATGAGTCGGGATCAACTCAGAAACTTTGGTCAGATATGTAATATTCAGAGAACCTTGGTTTTCTAGCCCCTGCATCCTGCTCTTTGGTGCATTGGGTCAACCTTTAGGACCCCAACTTTTTCTTTGAGATTTTTGGAAACTTTGAATGACTTCAGTTCACTTTTCCAATTTGTTTGTTGAACATGAAGACCAGCAAGGAGAGTGAGGAGTGGTTGGCTCTCATGGAAGTCCAGGTCAGTTGATTGTGCTGCCTCAGAGGGATTGCTTTGAGGCACAAGAGTTGGTCTCCTCAGGGCTAAGTCAGGCCATGACAGCCCCTTCACACAGGATGTTTTCCTCTTAGGTCCACGCTTGTTCATATTAGGTGATCTAGAAGTTTGGGTATTTCCGTTTTGGAAATAAACTGAATTTGTTCATATTGTTTTACTACAGACATCATATGCATTGGCTGTTTTGGATCTAGAAGATGATCTGTGTGCATGGTCCTTTTTGGCATTGGGTGATGTTGGGCTTGGCTCCTACCTGCCACAGTGCTCTGTGCTCTTAGGGAATTATCACCATTTTGTGCCCCCACAGTGGGAAGGGAAGGCTATTGTAACACCCACCTGCCCACTTCCTCCCAATAGTTACCTCTTCCCTATGTCCATCCCTCCATGCACTCCTGCCTCCTGAGCTGCCTCCTTGTGCATAAGCAGCCCTTCTTTCTCCCATGATTGTTCTCTCCAAGGAGTGTATCTGCCTCAAGTAAATGTTTAATTCATATGCCTGTCTTTTGTTTGGCTGGAAACCACAGGTATGGGTACAATTCCAGACCTGAAGGGCAGCTAGGGGCCATAGTCTCAGTGGTTCCACCAGTCTCTATCAGACCAGCAAACCTGCTCCCCCTCTTTTTTTTTTCTCCAAATGATTTTGAGTTTTGTTCCACATTGTTCTCCCTCTCTATCAACGATCTCCTACATAGATCCCCTTCCAGTTGGATGACAGTGGTAGCTGGGCACCATCTAGTTCTGGTCTCATGGTCATATAGGCTGAGGATTGCATGGTGTACCAGTCGCGAGGACTAATTGTTTCCATGAATCTTTGGTTTTCTTCGTTCTTCTTTGCTCTGGACAAGGAGGGACCCATTGTTGCATCTAGATAGCAGCTTGTTAGCTTTTAAGATTCCGGTCGCTACTTGCCAAAGTAGGAGATGGAACAATGTTTTGTATAGTATGTCATGCCAATTGAGCTTGATGTTCCCTGCGACTATGGTCCCGAGCCCACAGGTTCAACTACTCGGTCCCTCTGGGTAGCTGGCTGTGACCAAGCAGTGACCACAACCTTGTCCATTGTCAGTTCTCCTATACACCTGGGAATTCTGATCATTCATATAAAGTTATAGGACCATTGTCTGCCAACCCTATACACTTGGATACACTCCCCACTTCATAGACATACCTAATAGTTCAGCCTGTCCACCCCTCTATCCACCCGTATAGTGTTTTAAAATGCTCAGAACCTGGCATATACAAAGAGTCTTCAATGAATGTCAACTGTGTTGCTTTTAATTTATTTATGAAGTTCCTACTAATAGCAAAAATACTAAAAATGTGATTACTCATAACTCCCAACCAAAGGAATGTCCTGTTCCTTACTATTTAACAGGGTAGGTCCCTGCCCCCTTTACTTTTTGCTCTCCATGTGGGACTGGTCAGTGGATTCTACCACAGAATGATTAACAGGCAGGTTTTGGAAGTATTCCAATTCAAACTAGAGGAATTTTTTTACAACTCATACTTGGGTTGTTTTTTTTCCTTCTTCAAGTCACAGATTTAGCCTATTTTTATTCATTTTTAGGGGGAGGGATTTGTATAGTATGAGCATACTTAGCCACATTAGTACTGTGGTCATAATTAGCACACTGCTCCCCATTGCTTGTGGGACTTGACACAGGCCTTGTGGTCTATGTTCTGGCAGATAGCCTTCCGAAGAGGGTGGAGTGTTTGTGCAATTTTTGCAGAGCAAAGCCATTTATCAGAGCCACCTCCTCTTCTCTCATACCCTGCCAAATAGAAGGTAAAGGCTACTTATATTAATTATTTCCTGGTAAGCAGAGATTCCTTAACAGGAGCCCAATTAGGCTGGCATTTTTACTCAGGGTCAATAAAGACACTCATCTGAGTGCTATCTCTTTTAATTTTCACATCAGTCCTTCAGAAGAACAATCAATCCACATCTCTGCATTGATAGCTGGGAACCTGAAGCTTAAAGTGATTTGCAAGTTAGTAGAAAAATGACAGTGGTGGAGCTGAACACACTGGTTCAAACCCAGTCCCAGGCATGTTCAGTTGGGCTGTTCTGTCTGCACGCACTCCACACATCTTGACACTTCACCTAATGAGTCAATATATTGGTTACATTTTACACTATCAAAGCTGTATGGGTGGCATTTGTGTTTGCCTTGTAACTTGGAACTGCCTTTCCTGGTGTCCTTTCATTTAATTTGCTTCAAATTCTGTGAAATAGGTATTTTTCATCCATGACTGTTCTGAAGACTTGCCCAAGGTCACTTGCTGAAACGCTTTTCAGAGCATAGTGACCTCAATGCTACCATACTTACAAACAGGACCACAGACTCATAGCCTTTAGATGTTGTGCCTGCCAGGCTGTCTCTGAGTTGGTAGGCAGCATGGGTCAGCAGTAGTACACAAAAGCTCCAAAGCCAGTAAACCTGGGTTCTAGCCCTACTCCTACTTCATAGCAGCTACTTTCACTTGGACAAGTTATTTATTCTCTTTGTGTATCAGTCCTTTACTGATAAAAGAGGAATAACAATATCAAATTTTTATTTCATGAAAATTAGAGAAAATGTGGTATGCCTACCTTATAATAACAGTATACCAGTTGCCACTGAGTCAGCTCCAAATCATGGTGACCCCATGAGTGTCAGAGTAGAACTGCTCTCCAGTAGCTGACTTTTTGGAAGTAGTTCACCAGGCCTTTCTTCCAAGGAGCCTCTGGGTAAACTTGAACCTCCAGCCTTTCAGTTGGCAGTCATTAACCATTTTCACCACTCAGGAACATGTTTTGTTGATGGCAGCTACCTCTGTTACTATTACCTTACATTCATCCCATGGCTGAATCCAAAATATAGTCCTTCTGAGTTCATGACCCTAGTTGCCTCTCTTGAAGAACATGGTTTAAAGCATTTTTTTGTTACATTTGTGACACCCTTCACCCTCAAGCTCTGCCCTAAGATGAGATCAGTGAGGTCTGGTAGCAACAGTAGCCCAGAGTCTCTACTGTTCATCACTGGAGCATGTGCTCAAGTCTGCACTCTCCAGAAGTACTCAGAAGTCAGTCTTGTCACTGTGGAATGTGTGCAACATGTGCCTCCAAAATCCCAGGTGCCTGCATAGAACAGGTTTCAGACCATAAACAGCTGCTTATTGTGGTATGCTAGCAACTTCACAGTAGAGAAATCAGACAAGGCAGGGGAGACGGGAGGGTGGATAGATGCAAGCTCTTGGCTAGATTGCTGAGGAGATGCTGTGTTGGAGGTTGAGATACGTGGCTTAGGTGATAAATGTTGGTGGTCAGAAGCTTATGGCTCAGGGAGTTGCTAAGTGTCACTGTCTGCACTGTAATTAATAATAGTAACAGAGCATTCAGCTTTTCCCACACACATTTTAGGCCTAAGCTTTTGATTGAGAATAGTAGAGCATGAAAGGCAGCCCCAAAGGCCAGGTGGTCCTGCCATGAGTTCATGGGCACCTACATGACCTATAGGTACCATGCTAAGTGAGAAGGCCTATATTTACATTTCGGCAGATTCCTGAACATTGACGGAATGGCAAGTTTGTTAATCAAATGTCCTCTGTATTTAGACTTTGTTACACAGCACGTAGTAGACATTTGATAAAGGTAGTCAGACACATGTATGACTGAAATACCTCCTTTGTCATACACGAACAGTAGACTCTTGTGAACTGATGAGCTGAGCTGTGTTAAAATTCAAAATCATGATGAAAATAACAGTGAGCCATTAAAGAGACACAAGTTGAAGTGCAAGGAATTCCAAAGGGATTCTTAGTGACAACTTTCTTTGCAGAGAAAAGTAGAAATAATTCTAGCTTCTCAAGATGTTTAATTATTTGAATTCTTTTTCTTATTCGACCCTTTGCTGGAGTAGAAATAGAATTTTGGCATCTGAGAAAAGTCTTTGTACTGTTTATTATGTAATACTATGTATTTATTTACAGACATACCTCAAATATTGTGAGTTCAGTTCTAGACCACCTCAATAAAATTAATATCGCAATAAAGAGAGTTACACAATTTTTTTTATTTCCCAGTGAATATAAAAGTTATGTTTATACTACACTGTAGTCTATTAAGTTGTGATAGCATTATAAAATAGTTGAAATGTTGTGAGAATTACCAAAATGTGGCATGGAGACATGAAGTGAGTACATGCTGTTAGAAAAATGATGCTGATAAACTTGCTTGTCTCAGGGTTGCAACAAACCTTCAATTTGTAAAAAAGAACTCATTACCTGCAAAGTGCAATAAAGAAATGCACAATAAAATGAGGTATGTCTGTATAACTCATTCCAAATTGTCTGAAGCCCACTCTCACTCCTGAACCTCCTTCTGCTCTCTTCCCACAGTTCTCCATACACAAGGGCCTGTTGATGGCAGCCTCTATGCTAAGGTGAGGAAGAAGAGCACCTCAGATCCCAGCATCCTGGGTGGCCCCCAGGCTGTCCCAGCCAACCACAGCCCAGACCACAGTGAACACACCCTGTCTGTCAGTAGTGACTCGGGCCACTCCACCTCTTCAATCAAGACAGACAAGACAGAGGAGCACCTGGCTCCTGGTGCAAAGAGGGGCCTGAGCCCCCAGGAGAAGGCTGAGTTGGACCAGCTTCTCAGTGGCTTTGGTCTAGAAGAGTCCGGGAGCTCATTCAAGGATATGACTGATGCTCAGAGCAAGTATAGTGGGACCCGCCACATCGTGCCAGCCCAGGTCCACGTTAACGGGGATGCCAAGCTGCGGGACAGGGAAACAGACATCTTGGATGATGAAATGCCCAACCATGACCTGCACAGTGTGGACAGCCTCGGAACTCTGTCCTCTTCAGAGGGGCAGCCCTTGGCCCACCTTGGTGCCTTCACTTGCCATAAGAGCAGCCAGAACTCCCTCTTGTCTGATGGCTTTGGCAGCAACACTGCTGAAGACCCACCTGGCAGTCTTGGTCCAGACCTGGACATTGGCATGGAACTGCTCTATGAGCGGCCATTTGGAAACCGGGAGCCCAGGCAGCCACCAACCCTGATGAAGAAGCCCTCTGTGTCAACACAGCCACAGACCTATAAGCAGAGCAGCTATTCCACACAGACCTGGGTGCGCCAACAGCAGATGGTGGCTGCACACCAGTACAGCTTCACACCTGATGGGGAGGCCAAGCTTGTTAGCCACAACACAACTGAAAATCCTGGCTTCATCCCAGCCCAGGCCAGAGTGCCAGTCACCCCGGCCCAAGGGGCTAACAGCAGAGTGGCTGTCCAGAGAGGTGCAGACAGTGGGCCAAAACCCCCAATCACACAGCTGCCCCCTCCCAGCAAAGCATTCAAACCCAGATTTGCAGATGAAAACACCATGAATGGGGTTGACCTAGAGCTGAATACAGTCCTCTCTCCAGGCTCCCCAACCCTGGATATCGACCAGTCCATTGAACAGCTCAATAGGCTCATCTTGGAGCTGGACCCCACCTTTGAGCCTATCCCGACCCACATGAATGCACTGGGCAGTCAGGCCAATGGTGTTACGCCCCTGGATGGAGCAGACAGCCGGCTTCGAGCCAGTGGCAAGCTGCAGGACCCAGGAGAAGGCCCCAACAGGACACCTGGGAGGCAAGGTGAGCTGAGTATGGTACAGTGCTAGAACTGGGCAGGTATGACATTTCACAAGGCCCACTGAGGAGTGAGCTATTGGTGAAATTGACAGTGGAGAGGCTCTTGCTTTGGATCATACACTCTTTTGAATATTTTGACATAGGCTCTCTGAAAGCATATTTGGAGTGTGGGAAGAAGGCCACATGGGTTGAGCAAAAGTCCTATTCTTTAGGGTTAGGACAGCATAGGGACTAGATGCTACCATTTGGGCAAGTTGATCATTCATCAGTAAGGGGCTCTGGTGGCATGGTGCCTAAGGCATTTGACTAACTAGAAGGTTGGCAGTTCAAACCTACTAGCCACTCCATGGAAGGATGATGGAGCAATCTACTTTTGTAAAGATTTACTGCCTTGAAAACCCAATGGTGGTTGCTATGAGCTGGAATTGACTTGATGGCAGTGAGTTTGGTTTTGGTGTTTTTGGTATTAATGTCCATGAGCAGTGGTGCACCAGGCCAGGATAGCACAGTGTCAAGCCAGACTGCCTGTGTATGAATCCTCACACAGCCCCTCACAGGATGTGCCATTCTGGCCCAAGTGTTAAACTGTTCTAAGACTCAGTTTCTACATCTGCAGGATGGGCTTAATAATGAAACCTTTCCGTCTGTGAGGATGAATCTGTAAAGAATAGTATTCAACATAGTATATGATTTACAGGAAAGGGCTGGGGAAAGAGAGAGAAGCTCCATGTGGGAGTGGGGGCGTAGGAAGGTCAGAGAGATAAGGGGGAGGTGGCGGTACTCTGCTGCATATGGAGACTTGCTGAACAGCAGGTTCAGGGGTACTGTGTTGCAGGCCTTGGCAGGGAACTTCCAGCCACAGGGCCAGGATCCTAAGAAGCAGCAGTGACAGCACAGGGTTGCCAGGACTGGTGGGCTGGCTGCAGTGGAAGTGCAGGGCACCATCAGGGGTGCATGCTTTCTGCCATAGCACATGCCCTCCCTCCCTTGGGTATGAATTTGGAAATCAGGGCAGGAGAGAGCCTTCCTAGATGCCTGCATGAGTCCAGCTGTGAAGCCCTGGACAATGAAGGGGATGGCAGTAGTGTGTGTGGGCTGCATGAGTGTGGCATGGTAAATGTTGAGACAGGGCTATTATAACATGTTGTTGGTGTAGAGAGATATACAAAGGAAGGGCAGGACCCTAGAGAAAGACTATGGTTGGCTTGGGCCTGGAAGGATAGAGAGGAAGGGTACATCAGGCAGGAGTTTCTTTCTTTTTTTTTTTTTTTTTTTTTTAATTGCTGACAGTTTAATGGCAATAGTCATGACAATTTTTTTTCCTTTTCTAGCAACAGTGCTAACATTCAGGAAACTCTTTTTTTCCCCTCTTTTTTTTTTTTTTAATTGTGATTTAGATGAAAATGTACAATGGAAATTCACTTCCCATACTGCAGTTCACATACACTTTGTCTCATGACATTGATCATACTTTACTACAATGCAACAGCTCCCCTCCCACTTCCTCCCGATAGTTACCTCTTCCCTGTGTCCATCCCTTCATGCACTCCTGCCCCCTGAGCAGTCTCCCTGTGCATACATAGCCCTTCTATTCTCCCATGATTGTTCTCTCTAAGGAGTGTATCTACCTCAGGTAACTGTTCAATTCATATGTCTGTCTTTTGTTTGGCTGGAAGCCACAGGTGTGGGTTCAATTCCAGACCTGAAGGGCAGCTAGGGGCCATAGTTTCAGTGGTTCTACTGGGCTCTATCGGGCCAGCAAACCTGGTTCCACCCCCTTTTTCTCTTCTCCAAATGGTTTTGAGTTTTGTTCCACATTGTTCTCCCTCTCTATCCAGGATGTCCTACATAGATCCCCTTCCAAGTGGTTGACAGTGCTAGCCAGACACTATCTAGTTCTTCTGGTCTCATAGGCATATAGGCTGCAGCTCGGATGGTGTACCAGTTGCTAGGACTAATTGTTTCCATGAATTTGTGGTTTTGTTCATTCTTCTTTGCTCTGGACAAGGAGAGACCCATCGTTACATCTAGATGGCAGCTTGAAATTTTTATGATCCCAGTCACTAGTCGCCAGAGTAGGAGGTGGAACAATGTTTTAAGTAGTATGTTATGCCAATTGAGCTTGATATCCCCTGTGACTATGGTCCCAAGCCCACAGGTTCAACTTACTCGGTCCCTCTGGGTAGCTTGCTGTGACCAAGCAGTGACTACAACCTTGCCCCTTGTCAGCTGTACTATACACCTGGGAATTCTGATCATTCACATAAACTTATAGGACTATTGTCAGGCAGGGGTTTCTGAGGACGTGCTGGCTGGAGAGATAGAGTCAAAAAGAAGATTGGTACAGGTGGTTAGAACTGTCCTTCAGAGGGCTACTAGGCAGTGTATAACCTCCTTGGGAGAGCCTCCCTTAGGGACCTGAGAATGTGGTGTTTGTGTTATGTCAGGAATTTCACCCAGTGTTGGTATGTGGGATGTGCTTTCCCACTTGGCCCCTTCAAGTAAGCCTCCTTCCAAAAGCAGACAAACTAGAAGAGTAGTACATGGAAGAGACACTGAGTTTTCCTTTTTCCTGGCTTCTCCCATATCTTTTTTGGTGCTCCTAAATGAGGTCATGAATGTTGTCTAATATAGTGTTAGAAGATGGCACAGGACCACATAACATTTCATTCTGTTATACATAAGTTTACCATGAGTTAGAGCCCACTTGTTGGAAACTAACAACAAAGTGAGATCATTACTATCAAATCATCATGGTGTACTAGTAACATTGATGAGAAAAAAAAAAAAAAATTATGCTGGGCGTTGTTCCCTTGGCCACAGGTACTATTTTGCACTTGAGTTTACAGAGGGGTCAGTAGGTTAAGTGACCCACCCAACACCACACAGATAGTAAGTAATGAAGTAGGAATCTTGGCCATACTGTTTCATGTCTGGAAGCAGGATTGGGGGTGGAGGAGGCACAGGCTCTGCAATTGTCCCTGCTGACCTTAAGGCTGAGAGATATCATTGATGACTATTGGTCTTTGGTGGGTAAATCACTTCATGTCTGTGAATTTCTGTGTATTCTACCTGTTTACAAGGAAACCTTATCACAGTGCCTGACCTGCAGAAGGAATTCACATGTAACTCTCATACACAGGGACCCTAAGTGAAGAAACTATGTAGCATCCTTGCTTGCCTGAGTAACTTGGACCCTTTCTATCATTAACTGGGAGAGAAGGAGTTCGAAAAGTCTCCCATGAGTAGATTATTAAACACTATATGACAATAAGGAGCTCTGGTAGGATAGTGGCTAAAGCACTTGACTGCTAACCAGAAGACTGGCGGTTCAAACCCACCAGCCACTCCTCGGAAGGAAGGTTGGGCAATCCTACTTCTGTAGTGATACTGCTTCAGAAACCCAAGGAGGGGTCGCTATGAGTTGGGGGTCACTCGACGGCACATAACAACAACAACAACATATGACAATAGCTCTGATACAATAGCAACAACACTAGTGGCAATGACTTAGTGGAGATGGAGGCCAAAGAATGTAGATATATTAGCAAATTCAACCAAGTATATTCAGGAAATTCTGAGTTAAAAAATTGTTTTTAAGTGAAATGAAACCATCCAGTTTTCTCTCCTGGCCCATTGCTTATCTAAGTAAACCTATCTGAAATATATTACATGGAAAAATTAAAGGCCTGGACAGATTTTGGTCATTTTGAATCAAACAACCATATGATCTACTATGCCAGGAATGACAAATTGAAGAGGAATGGTGTGGCATTCATCATAACAAAGGATGTTTCAAGGTCTGTCCTAAAGTACAGTGCTGTCAGTGATAGGATAATATCCACACACTTACAAGGAAGACCCATTAATACTACTATTATTCAAAATTACACACCAACAACCAAAGCCAAAGATGAGGAAATTGAAGATTTTTATCAACTTCTGCAGTCTGAAATTGACCAAACATGCAATCAAAATGTGTTGCTTATCACTGGTGATTGGAATGCAAAAGTTGGAAACAAAGAAGAATCACCAGTAGTTTGGAAAATTTGGCCGTGGTGACAGAAATAATGCTGGAACTTGCATGGTAGAATTTTGCAAGACCAACGACTTGTTCATTGCAAACAACTTTTTTCAACAACATAAACAGCACCTGTACATGTGGACTTCACCAGATGGAGCACACAGGAATCAGATTGACTACATCTGTCGCAAGAGGTGATGGAAACGTTTATCTTCAGCCAAAACAAGGCCAGGAGCTGATTGTGGAACAGACCATCAACTGCTCATATGCAAGTTCTACTTGAAGTTGAAGACAATTAAAACAAGTCCATGAGAGCCAAAATATGACCTTGAATATATCCCTCCTGAATTTAGAAACCATCTGAAGAACAGATTCGATGCATTGAACACCAGTGACTGAAAACCAGAAGAATTGTGGGATGACATCAAGAGCATCATCCATGAAAAAAGCAAGAGGTCTTTAAAAAGATAAGAAAGAAAGAAAAGACCAAACTGGATATCAGAAGAGACTGAAACTTTCCCTTGAATGAAGAGTAGCTAAAGCAAATGGAAGAAATGACAAGATAAAAGAGCTGAACAGAAGATTTCAAAGAGCAGCTTGAGCAGACAAAGCCAATTACTATAATGAAATGTTCAAAGACCTGGAGTTAGAAAACCAAAAGAGAAGAACATGGTCGGCATTTCTCAAGCTAAAAGAACTGAGGAAAAAAAATAAGCCTAGAGTTGCAATATTGTAAGATTCTACAGGCAAAATATTGAATGATGCAGGAAGCATTAAAAGAAGATAGAAGGAATACACAAATCACTGTACCAAAAAGAACTGATCTATCTTCATTCATTTCAGGAGGTGGCATATGTTCAAGAAACAATGGTATTGAAGGAAGATATTGAAGCTGCACTGAAAGAATTGGTGAAGAACTAGGCTCCAGAAATTGATGGAGTACCCATTGAGATGTTTTCAACAAACAGATGCTCCACTGGAGGCACTC